TGATGGTTAATGTAGAAAATTGGGAAAAGTTTAAGGAATTAATTGGTGATTTTCCAAAAAAGAATTTTATTTCATAAATGGATTTATTTAATGACCAAATTATAAATTTGGTAAAGTTTGGTGATCAAAGTATAAACTTTGGAAAGTTTAGGGACCAAAATGTAATTTTGGAAAAATTACAAATGGGTCACGAAAATAAGAAATAAAAATATTATTTTCACATTTTTAAAATGTTAGAAAATAATATTTAATGGTTTAATTTCATGTTTAATTTGAATTGTTTGATTAAAGTGATTGAATTATAATTTTTGGAAATTGCAAGGGCAAAACGGTAAAGTGGAAAATTAATTTGTTCATTTTTGACTATTAAAAGATGACAAGGTTGAAATTTAATTGAATTTAAAGATGATAAGGATATGTATCTTGGTTTTATGGTAATTATGAGGTTATATTAAGGGTATATTGGTATTTTCTCAAGTTAATGATTAAATATGATAATTAAAAGATGATAAACATGATATCAATAAAAAATATCATGCCAAAGTGTTCTTCTCCAGCATATTCACGTGAGGAAGCTTTCAAGGTAAGAAAAATATTTATTTTCCATTTTTGAGCTAATTCCTTTGGAATTAGAGTTATGTCGTGAGATAAGAAAGTGATCTAAGTGAAAAACGATATCATTTGGTACCAATATTGCTTTCTAATTTTGTTGGATTTCAAAGATCCCAAATCTTAGGGTTTATGTTCATGATATGATTCATGAAATTGATGATAAATCTTGATGATTTACATGTTGTAGATTCATATTCAAGTATGAAAGATGATTAGAACATGTTTAATCTTTCTACAACTTGTTCTTTAAATTTCGGTCATGAATGGTTTGAGTGAGAAAAATTATGGAAAAATTATATATGGGTTGGAAATGATGAAGGAAGTATGCTACAAGCCTTAGAAAAATTGGGGACCATTTCATAAGTTTTGAAAAGTTGGGGATCAATTCATAAATTTTGGAAAATTGATGGGTTATTTTGAAAGTGTTGTATAATTGATATACTATGCTGGAAATTGTTGTTTGGGAATTAAAATGAGTGTTAGAACGTGAAATATGACTATTTTGGAAGTTTGAAAAGATTTGTGAATTAAGTACAATATTTCCATAGTTGGGGTACTTAAATGTAAGTATGCCTTTGTAAAAGCATTTGAATGGTAATAAATTCAATGCTTGAATTTTTTGTATTAAGAATTTAAGTGATAAAATGGTGAAGGACCATTTTGTGTAAATTGGAAAGGTTGGTTCCAATGTTAAAAGGAATTATTAAGTGTTTAATATTTGGTAGAAATGGAGTTGTTATGGGATATGTTTATGTTAGTATAATACTAACATATGTATTATTATGAATTTGTGAATTATACAGATTATGATTGATTTACGATTGAAGCAAATCAAGAGGGTTTATTGTGGAGCAATAGTGAGGCTCATATTGTGGATTTTATAAAGTGTCAAGGTGAGTGCAATACATGCATGAAATTATACATGGACGTTTTATACATCATCAGGAAGACTTGCGATAAGTCAACCTTATTTATATCAACATGATATATGTTATTTTTATAACAGCGACATGACATTGAAATATTACGGTATGAAATCAAAACGCATTGATTATGAAAAATGTGATATTTTACCATGAATGTTTTCGGGTATGAACTGTCCAATGTTAAATTTGATAATATACTTTGCCATGGATGGATCGAATAAAGTAGACTATATGCCCAAATAAGTCATTGAGGGACAGGGTATAGTTGGCATGCCATAGAGTATAGCAGCTGCAGGTTTATATTACACTATAGTGTGTAAGGACACTAAGTGTACATGGTGGGCACGACCTTATGAGTAATACACTTCGGTGTATATGGTGGGAACGACCTTATGTGTAGTACTACGGTGCAAATATTACTCGAATACCCAGGGTCCTCAGGGTTGTATATTGGGCTATATGCTATGGTTTATGGTTTATTGCTTAATAAATGGTAAGCATACAAATAAGCTTACGAGCTTTTGGAATAATGGCAAGTATATGGGTAAAATAAGCTTACGAGCTTATGGGATTAAATGGTAAGTATTTTGTATAAAATAAGCTTATGAGCTTATAGAATTTAAATGGTAAGTATTTTGGTAAAATAAGCTTACGAGCTTATGGGATAAATGGTAAAAGATTTTATATTATATTGATCATGGTAAAATATTGGATATATTAGTAAAATGATTTTATGGAACTTTGATTTTGACATTGAAAATCATGCATGAATTGTATTACATTGTTTATCGTCTTAATTGCCTCACTAAGTATATACTTAGCGTGTGATGATTTTCACACATAGGTAAAAAGCCAGTAGTGGAATAAAGAGTTTAAAGCGACATCAAGCATCGAGGTGTATATTTTCAGTATCACTAAGACATCCTAAGATGTAATGTAGACTTAATTAGTGGCATGTAATTATTAATGTTTTATTTGTTTTGTTGAACAAATTTGGAAACAAAATGATAATTTTATGAGTTTTGTATAATGCTGAAATTACTGTAGCAGCTACTGTAGCATATCGATACATAATATTAATTCGAAGTTTTGGTGCATCGATGCACTATTCACGATACTGTAGCGCATCGGTACACTGTTCACTGTTCACAGGTATTGTTCATCACTGTTTACGGTATTGTTCATCACTATTCATAAAAAAATCTTTTGAATTAAATTTGCTATAACAAAATATAAATTATAAGATATGATATTTTTATAATATCAATTACTATTCTAAGGAAATAAATTTTAAATTGTTTCAGAAAAGAAAATGGTTTTAAAAATTCGGGTGACATCTATAATCTGTATATGTATAATTATACGGGTTATAGGTGTTACAGATACCCCTATAGGGAATATCGATACTGCTATATTAAGGTGTCGATGCCTCCCTAGGTATCGATACTAAAATTGGTTTCGATGTTTGGAAAAATAATTCAGTTTCGATATTCTTACTTATGGTATCGATACTTCTGTTTTAAATGGTATCAATACTCCCCGTGTACCGATATCAATTTTGGCTACTGGAATTTGTAATATAACTCTTGTATTGATACCACTTCCTTGGGCATCGATACTTGATGAGTATTATTGATACTAATAAGTCAAAAACCCTTTTATTTTGACTATCTAAAGAATAATATCGGTATTGTTCATCCAGTATTGATACTTGAGCTCAGAAATACTTTGTTTTTACTCGAGAATGACACCCAACTTAACCAATTTGCCACTCTAAGGCCCTTAAAGATATTTAAGTCTTATATAAGATTAAAGAGGTCATAATAGGTCAATTTTCATGTTGAACAACATTATAAGCCTAAATCTATCATGGATGCACTTACATGCTTCATGACTCATACAAACCAACCAAACACATCTAGTGATCTATAAGTGATATAGATGAGTTAGAAATGTGTTACCTAGAATCCTATGGTTTTGAAATGACTCCAGCTCAACCAAGAACTAGTTTTTCCTTGCCCTTACCCTTAGATCACTCACCAAAGCTTAAATCTACAAACAAACAAAAAATCGAGTTGATTCACTAAGGGTTTTTAAAACCCCACTTATGGCTATCATAGCCAAACATTGATATTTTGGGCTTGAGATGAAGCTCTAGGACGAGGAATTCACTTCTTACCTTAGAAAATTTGGACTAAGCTTTCAAGGCTACAAAGTTGTTACCTTTTTCAAGATACAATGGAAAATAATGGAGAAAGACAAAAAATGAGGAAAATGAGATATGAGAGATTAGCATTCCTCTTTGTCTCCGGCGTGTGACCTCATCAACCATTATGGAAATTCATCCTTTGAGATAAACCATGGGATAATCACTAGGGGTGTTTAAAAATATCTGACTCGGTTGACCCAACCCGCTAACCCGCCGACCTAGTTAAAAAATATCATGTATTTATATTGAAAATACCCAATTTTTCGGGTCGATTACCCGGTATTTCAGGTACACCCCTAATAATCACCTCCTTATCCTCCTTTTGTCACCAATTCAAAATCTTCCTTTTAAAAACTATTTGGGCTCACAACAAGCCCAAATCAATTTAAACTTGGGCTAACACATTCCACAAATGTTTTTTTTCAAAATCTTCTCGAGTTAGCCCGAAACTAACAACTCGTGATTCAATGCGTTACATAAAAAAACAAGACCCTTAGAATATATTTTTACGATAATTATAATTAATTTTAAATTAACTAAATTATATATGAAATAATATCAAAATTATAAGAACGAGTAAATCTTTAAAAACTCCATTTATTTCTTGTACACCATATGAACTGATTTTGTTTTCAACTTTTCTTTTTCAAAATTCACAAAAATCAACATCAGTCCACAACGTTAACAGATCAAAACAATCACAAGCTAACAAAAAACCAACCACACATTAGCTTTATTTGTTCTTTCTGTGTCGATATTCACTTCAACACTAATTAAATTCAGCACCCACACCAAGGTCAACCTTCATATAAAAGACACGTCCTTTGCTTAAAACAATAAAAAAGAAGCTCGTTTCTTCATAGATTGCATCACCATTTATATTCTTTTAAATATATAAAATGTAATGATGAATCATAATTCAGAGCTTTAGTGGAGACATAGGAACAAATTAAAGTGACAGCATCCTCAACAAGATCCACCACCATATATTATTATTCTTATGTATGAAAGGGAAAACTTTTCTGGTAAATCAAGTATAAAAACATATAAAAAAATCAACACTTGCATGATTCAAATCCCACCAAATCCACAATCTCCAACTCTATTCTTTTTTTATGTTTTTGTGTAAACAAAGTCTTCTTGCAAAACCAAAAACAATGAATCCTACGTTTTCTTCTAGCATAACCAGTCCACTAATCAATCTTCTATACATATAGTCAGATTTGGGTAGTGAACAGGGATCTAAATAACAATTCGCAATTAAAATAGCGTCATTTTATAATAGTAATGATGTTGTCCAAAATTATTATGGGATGACATGATACTCGTAACCGTAATGATCGCAATAACATTTGTTAATCGCTACAAACGTAATCAAAAATGACCATAAGGTAATTTAAATCTCTAGTGGTGAGGTACTAAGATGACTCCAGGATCATAGTTGCTGGGACATCACTGATGTTTTGTCTATGGTTGTGATCTCCTTCGTATGTTACAATCAACATCGTCGGATCGTCTAATGCTCGCTCGACGTGTTTCCTGGCAGGGCAGCCTCGGACGCTGCTACACTTGTAATACCCCCTGAAAAAATTGAACAAAGAAACGAGTTAGGGAAACTCGGGGATTGAGTTAAGTTGGCTCACCAACACCTAACACATGAGCTAATATAATAGCACACCTTGGATGAGGAGAACCCTTGATTGGTTTCTGGCCATATTTTCTCCAGGAATAATCATCAGGAGGAATATCCGCCGTTTTATCGCTGATTGCAGGAACTCTAATCACTTTCTTCACTCTTAATTTCCTAAGTAACAAATAAAATCAATCAAAAGGTTGAAACTTTATGATCCGATCGATTAAACAAAACCATCCAAATTAGATCAAGAGAAGAAAAAACCAACCTTTTCTTGGAGCAATGGCAACGACCGGATGCGGATCCACACTTGAGAGCGGCAGTACCCATGGAATCGCACTTCCTTTTCGAAGACAATGGAGGCTTACCAGATGAATGGACATGGGAAGAGAAAGACAAAGGAGGAAATCTATGAACTGGTTGTGTCGGATGAACTGGATTAAAGGCAGACACTTTAACTTTGGTTTCTTCAATCTTCTGCGGAGATTGTTGGGAATCAAATTGGTCTCGTCGGAGAGGAGTAAGAGGCGCACGTCTGAACCGAGCATGGCCTGTTCTGGGACGACCTAGCAAAGAAATAACTTTCTTGAAAGAACTTACACTCTTATCTGTAACAGCTTGGATCACGATACTCGGCTCTGAATCTGAAGAAGAAGAAGAAGACGCTTTAAAAGAATCATCATGGTTGTAAAGATGCTGAGCTTTGGACATCAATTTTATGAATTCCTCAACGCCTTGGATCCCAGCAGTTGCAGCTTCTGCAAAACTATTCCCATCACCATATCCCATCATCAATTTCACCGCCATTTTTGTTCATCCAAAGTTGAAATCCTCAATTTTGGTTTTATAGAACAATAAATGGACTTGTAATAATATGAAAATGAAAACTCAGAAAAGCAAAGCCAATGGATTTGGGCATCGATCGGCTCACTGACATTTCTAATCTTTCATATATTCCCGTCAAACTACCATCCATTAAATTGGTTCCACGTATTCAAGAATTGTCAGCACATTGACCAACACGCTTTGAGAATAAATATGAAGTCCCTCGGCAATGGGATATACCGGTTTCCAAGACCGTGTCGAAATGAAGATAGGAGGCAAAAAGCAGAAGGTCAAAAGGTTGTATTAGGTGGTAGAGATGACATTTAACAGCTTTTAATGCAAAAATAAATCATGTGTGGGACCAACGAAAAAGATCTCCACTTATTTTACCGGTAACCGGAAACCGCGTCAAAATTGTTTCTCACACTTCACATGGGATTCTTTCTTCAAAATTCAATTACACCATTAAACTATTTTGATATTGAATTAGTTTTTTTTAACTACATAAATACCCACTAATATTTGAGTAAATTTTAATTTTTATCATTGAAATTTTAAAAATAATAAATTGATTAATTAATGTTATCGATTAATAATAAACTGATCAACCTTCGTTAACGATCGATACTAGAAGTGATGAGATGCTGATGTCACCTGTTATATAACTTGACATCATTTTTTTATATGTTTGACTCAAAAACTTTTGACCAACACTTAAAGAAAAAAGTTTGAAAAAAAATTATCTTCTTCTCCATTCTTCTTCTCTCTTACATTTTCCACTTAAAAATTAGGTCAGCTATATGACTATATCCCACCATGAATAAAGTACTGCAGAGCTCACCAGTGCAACATTGATGGTCGAAAACCACCCTGATTGGTGGAGCATCAACAGTCACCATCAACTAATCATCAACAGTCACTGTCTCCTTTCTTCTTCAAGTCGTTACGGTCGTCGCCTGTTTTCTTCACTCGGCTCATCCCACCTTCACCTCTTCTTGGCAAAATAAGCCAGAGTTTCTCGAGCCATGGACTATTCTTGTAACTATCCTAACCCTTTGTAAACCATTAACAAAACTTCGCCTTCAATTCAAATATGTTTAAGTTAATTTTACGTTACGTGGATTTTAATTTGTAGGGGAGGATTATTGGGAGAAGAAGAAGAAAGGAGAAGCATAGCAATCTACCATGCCTCAACTGTTAACTCTATCGATTTCATAAATCGAGACCACGCATACTCACAAGCATGAGCTTGTGAACTTCATGACTGGCATATCAGTTGTCCAATTACATATTTTGTAACTGCATGAGATTTGTTAACTTTCAGGGTAACTTTGGACGTCAATAAAGAGTAAGCAAATGGAAATAGAGCGGCGAAGCGAGGTCAATAAAGCATCAGTGCGGTGAAGCGAGGTCAATGAAGTGTTGGAGGGTCGAAGGTATGAAAGGGAGGAACCGACCCGTCGGTGCGAGGAAGTGAGAGACGTCTCTGGATTCTGTAGCAAGAAGATCGGTCCGCTGAACGGAGATAAGGAAGCTGCTGGAGTTTCAATGGCTAAGTCGAGCGGAGTTCCTGGTTATACGGTGGAAGTGAATCCTAAGAAAGGTCCTAATCCCCCTTCTCATGTTGTAGAGGGTTGGACACTTTTCATAAATAATCTTAGCAGAAGAGTTTCAAGAGTGGCGCTAAAAGAGTTTCTGAGTCACCATGGCAAAGTTCTCGCACCCCGTTTGATTTACGGTATAATGCATTCCTGGAAGGAATATTTTTTTCCCAGATAGATATACCCACGTTTGGATGGGGCACATTACCTAGTGCCGGTTAAAATCTAATACCAACAGTAAACTTTTTCCTGTTTTCCGGGGAATGTCTATCCCCTATCTTCCTTAGGTATTTTATTATTCACGTCCCCGTTGTCTAAAATAACCTTCTCCCTTTGTTTTGTTTGATTCTGTGAAATTCCCACCGCGGTCGATGCTCCTCCTGAAAGTTGATTCTGTGGAAAGCTAAAAACGATCAAGCAAGGATGTGAGTTTACATATCTACTTTTCCTTTGTTTAATCTTAAATTTCTTTGATGTTTCTTTTATGCTTCATCTTCCCCAATTTCTGTTCATTTTCTGATTATCATTCAGTCTTGTTCTTGGGTTTCTCCTTTATTGATGATCAATTGTTTTGCTCTCTGGTTTTTCTTTTGACTTGTTTATCTTCATCCTTAGTTGATTTGTTGGTCTGGGTTTTGTTTCGTGCTTGAAGCTTGTTGTTATTTTGCTTGAACTTAAGTTATAATTGATGGTTTTGATGGGTGCTTTTAAGGATCCGTCTACTGAAATATCTTTTATCTTTTTATGAAATTTTCTACTATAATTTTTTTTATCTTTTATTTTGAAATAAAAGAAAAACGGTCTTGCTAAAAGTTCATTGTCCATAGTTCATACATGATCCCTTGCTAACAATAATAATAATAAATCGGAAACAAGGTGAAAAAGAAATAAAGATACAAAGAGAAGTGCAAGTGCAAACCTGGGATTTAAGGTCTGCACAAGTTATAGCTTAAACTATAGTCTTAATCTAAATGAGCAAAGTATCGTTTAGAGAGTGCATAAATACTTCTGGACTGCTTCAAATCTCTCTGACATCAAAATTTAAGGTGATCTGGTCCGAAAGACATGTAACATTGCCCCTCCATATTAGTTCATCAACCCCCTCATCCCTTCTCTTTTGGCAAACACCCAATTATCATAAAAATGAATATAGAAACATGAAATTTATATGAGTACTGCTAGAACAACATTCAATGGTTCAGTAACTTACAAAGATATCCTTTTCCTTGGTTTCTTCATCCAAAGTCCTTGAAAAGAACCTATACAAAAATGAAGGTTAATGTCAAAGAAACAAACTCGAGGCTGAAGCAAAAGTTATTTACCCGACTTTGTTTGGTCGAGTTTACTTGAACACATGAGAGTTATCTAAAAGATGCCTGCCATTTACTGTTCCCTGTAAAGCAGTTTAAACTTGGTAAGTTAATTGTACAATGTCATTCCATATCAAGAGAAAGAAGAGCCATATTGAAGGAAAGAGCCTTGGTGTGTTCATGAATTCTATTGTCTCACTTCTTGTCAAGAATATCATAAAAAACCTTTGGTTTTCTGTACTTTGTGATGCACAATGCCTAGAACCAGAAATGTAATTTTAGACGTTATCGACTGGAATATATATAGGATTATTATCTGAGACACATCGATAAAAGTTCACAACAAGCGACCTACATGCATTGCAAGAGCTATGTGCATTAAAGTGGGTTCTGACCATGGCTTCCCTATAAATCGAAGGCCAATTGGCAAACCAACTTTGTCATAGCCAACTTATGTAAGCATGGAGGATTTGATATCAGTAGATGGTAAACAGAAACATAAAAACTTCTATGATTAATGGTGGTAAGTTAATTACGGGAACGGTGATCGCAGGTAGACCCAGAAAGTTTTCAGCGATCTGATATCGAATAATGTTAGCTGAAATGACAGTAATATGATCAACTTCTTTTGTCATGAAGATTTAGACATGAATGCATACTTGAAAATGGGTTGGAATTTCATTACCTCCGTTTATATAGTCAAGTTCACCAGTTTTTAGAGCAGCTTTGGATATGGGGTATGTTGTCATACTGTTTTGAAAAGAAACTGGGTAAATATAGGGATTGCAAAGTTTAAGTAAAAGACTGAAGGTGAAAAAAGTACAAAAAAAGTAAAAGACAGAAGAACAGATGCAAGTTGTGGCGGTGAAAAAGAATCTACCCTGTTGTTGGAGTGACTATGACTTATGCCTTGGTGAATATTTTGTTATGAATTTGCATATGACGGTACCTGCACATTCGTGGTCAAGCACCTTAGTTTAAACCATTTCACGATAAGTGGAGAGGACTGATTTTAATATAAAATTGTTGATTGGAAAAATTAGGTTGTAGCAGATTTTGGTAATATATTTCTTTTTGGTTTGAGTAAAGAGTCAAGATCAATATGCCATTTACAATTATGTTTTTAGGATATTGTTTGTCTAATATAAGAATAGTTTTAAACCTTATAAGTTCACTAAGATAATAAACTTAACTTTAGACCCTAGCAACATTTTAGTTTGTACTGGATGGGACATCGTTCCACCTAATTTTTTTTTCTCCATTCAAAAACTACTGCATAGATCTTTTTTGTAACGGTGGGTTAACAGGAATATAGTATTTTAATAATCTGAAGTAATTTAGAGACCATCTTATAGAAACCTAAAAGAAGCTCATTCTTTTTGCAGAAGAATGCAATAAAGATAAATATAGATTTCCAATTTCTAGAAATTGTATAATATAAATTTTATTACAATTTTTTAGGCTTGAGATTTAGCTTATCTTTGGTGATTGACTGATCTAACTTTCACGAGTTTTCTACAAATAAGAATCATTTTTTTTCTTTACATGCTTGAATTCTTGATGCTTGAAATAGAAATTTGGTGGTTACATTATTGGTTTTTGCTTGATCACATTCGCTTTTTTCTTTTCTAATCTCATGTTAAATTAGTTTTCATTTATTTTTAATGTGATGACACACAATTGTTTTTGTTCAATATTATTATGTTCTAATATTAAAATATTTGTTCATAATAACAGTTATGGCTCGTTTACCAATGCGAAAGAAGATGCATATCACCACAATTCTTATTTACAACTGCAAATGATGGAGATTGTGTGTCATATGCTTATGGTTATTTCAGTTATTCTTAGAAAATATAAAAATAGACCTAAAATAAATTATGCACATGAAAGACTTCATAGACATAATATTAGATCACTTAATTTACATAAAATTGTATTTGAAAGTGATAGACAAAATGTTGATAATTGTCGAATGGATAGGAAAGCATTTCTCAAATTGTGTCACTTATTACAAAGTCAATATGGGTTAAAAGAGAGTCGATATATGTCTATAGAAGAAATGGTTATTACTTTCCTTCATATTTTATCCCACCATATTAAGATTAGAGTTCTAAAATGTCAAATAGTAAGATCTAGTGAAACAATTAGTAGAGTT